AGTCTAGGGATATGCTTGATATTAACATAATCAAATCTTCGAAACAATATATTTGCTATCATGAAGTACATTATCAGATTCTCTTTTTATGCATTTGTACTCCTTGGTTATTTATTTGATCACCAATTCAGAATCACCTCTTATTTTGACTCTAGTTGCCCCCAATTCCAACAAAGCTTTAAGTACTGCTATCAAAGCTTCATATTTAGCTTCATTCTTCGAACAAGGAGGACCTTCGATCTTGTACTTGAACTTGGTTGGAATTTTATCAGGAGAAATAATAAGTATTCCAACTCCAGTTCCATCTTTATAAGTAGAACCATCGAAGAATTTCCAAGGTTCTAATTCCACAAAATTTTGAGGAATTTCGACCACTGCGCTGTCAACTATAAAGTCTGATACTACTTGCCATTTCATAGCTTTTAAAGGCATGAAAGTCAAGGAATACTCAGTTAAAGCAAGTGCCCACTTGTCAATTCGACTATGCGGGATTGTTTTAGAAAGCATATGTTTAATAACATCAAAATATGAAGAAACATAGGCATCAACTAGATTTATATAGTATTTCAATTTGGTGCACTAAAAGTACAAACAAAGACATAACTTTTCTACACTACTATATCTAGTTTCTGCATCATTTAGTACTCGACTGACGTAATAGATGGCTCTTTCGATGCCATTCTCATCCTCTTGTGCAAGCATACTTCCTATAGTTGCATCTGATGCAGATATATATAGTCTCATACACTTATTTCTACAAGGAGGTGACAAGATAGGAGGGTGGACAAGGTATTATTTAATCTTGTCGAAGGCCTCTTAATTCTCTGACTTCCAGTCGAAACCACCTTATTTTAGACGCAAAAGGGAAGAGAAGGCTTGAGTGCGTCCACTTAGGTTCAAAATAAACCTTCTTAAGAAATTTATTTTTCCCAGAAGTGATTGTAATTCTCTTTTTGTCGATGGCGCTTTCGCTTCCATGATAGCCTTTTTCTTGTTTTGATTAATCTGCATTCCCTTCTTGTGGACCAGAAAGCCCAAAAAGTCACCAGTCTGCAAAAAAAAGGCACATTTAAGAAGATTCATCTTCAAGCCATGCTTCCTCATTCTTTCAAATGATTGGCGAAGGTGATCCATATGACTTTCATTAGATACAGATTTTACCACTATGTCATCAATATAAACCTGCATGAAAGTCTCAATAAAGTCATGAAATATAGAGTTCATTTCTCTTTGATAAGTTTCCCCAGCATTTTTTAAACCAAAAGGCATGTCTACCCATTCATAGGTGCCTAATGCCCCAGGGCATCGAAAAGTTGTCTTGGGTACGTCCTCTTCGGCAATGAAAATTTGATTATATCCAGAGTATCCATCAAGCATACTAAGATACTCGAAGCATGCGGCTGAATCAATTAACATTTCTGCCACGGACATTGGATATTCATCTTTTGGGGTTGCAGAATTCAAATCTCAAAAATCTATGCAAACCCTAAGAGACCCATTTTTCTTAATAACAGGAACAATATTTGCAATGAATTCGACATACCTTATGGTATGGATAAATTTGCATCGAAAGAGTCTTTCAATCGCTTCCTTTATCTTTGAGAGAATCTCTGGTGCGAACCTCCTTGGAGTATTCTTGATGGACTTCTTTCCATCCTTGATAGGCAGCTTCAGTTCGACCAATTCTCTGTTTAAACCAGCCATTTTGTCGTAATCCCAAGCGAAACAATCCTTTTACTCTTTTAGCAATTGGATCACTTTGGCTTTCATTTTTGGGTTGAGTTTTGAACTCACGTAGGTGGGTCTTTTGATGGATCCTTCACCTAGATCCACTTCTTCGAGAGGGTCTTGCGCCATCATAGTTTAAAAGTACCATGTTATGGGGCTTGATATCAGTGTTGAACATGCTAATTCTTTTCAATATGAATTGGAGCATTAGATTCACTACAGATCCATCATCTACCAGGATTTTATTGATTACCACACTTTCCACCTTCCCCCTTATGAACAGAGGTTTAAGGTGATTCTTCATTCCCTGATCAGGCCACTCGAAGAACGCATTATATTCTTCAACAACTCCATTATTCAGGATATAATAACACATTGGCTTGTGTTTTTCCATCTCAATCTCATCAGCTTCTTCTGATTCTTCGACCTCAATAATTTGATCATATTCATGGGGAAGCACTAAGACCACATTGCAGTTGATGTTGAGGGAAGACTTTTCGTCTGATTCAAAGTCATCAGTCAGCATGTCTTCGTCATTCATTGGGTCTTTTTGACGCTTTTTTCTAGTTTCATCCTTCTTTGGGGAAAATAGTTTTCTCCCCACAAATTACTTCTCTTCGACCGTGATGGTTTAGGGAAGTTGGTTACTACTAGACTCTCCCACTTCTTTTTCTTCCAATTCTCGTTCTTCCTTTCTTATTCTTTGGTGTCTTCGCCATTGAGACCTAGACATGAGATTTTTCCATTTGTAATTTTCTGACATGTATGCTTGTTTCTTTGACACTTGGAATTGCTTTCGATATGCTATGGACATCCTTTCTCCTTCTTCGAAACTCCTCCATTTTTCCTTTCCTGCACCCTTACCTTCATTTGGGTTTATCCATCTGTCAGTTGGGATGTTCGTATGTGGTTTGAAGGTAGCTCTTTGATTCCCCTTGGGATAAGGACTATCGGGCCTCCTGGGAATTCCCCTTTTGTCGAATGTGAAATTTCTCCTAGGCCCCATTTGGCTGTCCCAACAAAGAGCATATGGGATTCTCTCAAAGGCTTCTGATACTTTTTTATCTTAAACCGCATTGCACCTTGGGCACATCAAGCACTCTGATTTTGTTTTGTGGTAGTGGACAAGGAAACCCATCAAACTTTCTCCAGCCTTTGGGTAGACAACTTCTATTTGATCATTTTTCCTCCAATTTCCCCCAATTCGAGCATATCGTATTTTTTCATAAGTTTCTGCTGCCTTTCGATCATAAATTAGGCTGCATCTGGGACACATTATCCCCTCAGAATTCTTTTTGTGGCAGCGAACCAGGTAGCCTAGCAGACTTTCTCCAACCTTTGGGTAACCATTTCTCATCTGATCATCTTCCATTCTGAGGTGCCTTTCAACTTCCTTTGTCTTAGGAGCAGGTTGGTTCAAGTCTACCATGTTAACTTTAAGGTTAGGACCTTCAGTAATTCTGACCTTTTCAAACTTGACTCTAAGACCTTCAGTGGCCTTTGTTATTCCAACACTTGTGGTAATATCATCAATAATCATGCCTTCGACATCTTGGTTGATTAGATTTATAGTATTCTTTTGCACTTCGATACCTGCAACAAAATATTCAGTAATATTATTCAAGGTATTGGCAAGGTCTTCAGTATCCTTCTTTGCTTCAACATTTTCAACAAAATCTTCAGTGATCTTGTCTTCAGGGTGTTCATTAATATCGAAACCAGCAATTTCTAGCATATGAATATACGCGCCCGACCTGATGAGCATAAGGATGATGTGCCTTTCGATGTCGGGGTACTTTGCCGATGACGTACCTCCATCGCCACCTCCATTTGATGTCGATGTCCAGCAACGCCTGCAGATGATCGTTGTTATTATGGATAACATCATGGGTTTGGTAAACGCAGATGGTGAGGTTTTTAGCGGATTATCACGGGTAGCACACATAGCTCGTGGGAGACCTATTTAGTTATTTGATTTTACAATTGTATTATTTGTATATTTTGTAACTCATACTACTTAGCATCGTACCTTTTATTACATAATATTTTGTCAATTATATGTTTTGAATATGAACATTAAGACATTACAACTAACATAAATTAACAAAAACGAAACATGAAAACCTAAACATTGTCAGATGATTTTGGACGTTTCAGCATCTTAATTATGTCGTCTACAAATCTTGAAATATTCGCATCAAACTCGATCGGTTCTTTGGTTAGCCTACGGCGAAATGATCTCCCAGATAACCGTTAAATCTTCGATCTTCAACTCAATAAGGTTGTATTTCACTCTTCCATCAGTATCAATCCAATCTTCACGAAATTCGATCTTTCTCACCTTTCTATTATCGGTATTAGACAATAATTCATTCAACTTGGATGTTAAAGAGGCGAGAGATGTGGTGTCATCCAAAAGCCGAAACTCTACAGAAGATTTCACTTCGTTGAAGTACACTTCTGCCTTAATCAAAAATTGAGGAAGAGACATTAAATATTTTTCTCAACAACAGATGACTCATATTTATACAACTTTAAATTCATTCTAGACCACACAAAACGGTCAATGCAATCGCAATCGTACAAAATTGTCTGCAAAATTGTAAGTGTTGAAAATTTGCACTACCAATGATTGAAATTTCAAGTATAACATAGTATTTTTTGAAAATATCAGTAATATTTTCAAAGGTACCAAAAATATTTGAAAATCCCAATATTAATTCATATTGGAAATTATGAATACACTACGCACATTTGAATTCAATTTTGAAAAGAGACACTTTTAGTGTCAAGTATAAAAGAGGGTAACAGGTTAAATTCTCATATGGGCGGCAATACATCCACTTGTTGTGATAAATAGGGATTTTAGAAAGAAAGAATAAAAGCAATCATTTACATTTTTAATGATTTAGCAACAATTTTCTAGAAAAACAAGCTATATGTAAGTACGAGGTCCCTTTCCCTTTCTGTTAGTATTTGATGGTTCAACTTCAATTCAACGTACCAAGGTGACTCTGATGTTCTAGCTTCTATTCAATCTAATTTCTCGCCTTTTCAAATAATTGAAGATTATGGTGGCGTTCAAAGTTATTTCTTGAAATGAAAGTTGCAATCAGTGGTTGAAATTACATTCCACGTCAGCTTATAGGTGATTGAAAACGACAAAGAGAATACGAATAATGTATTATTCACCAAGTTTCACAAAAAAAAAATTGAGAATTTTATTCTTACGCTCATTTAAAACATAGAAAATATGATGTCAACCTACTCTATTAGAGACAAAACATTAGATGAAATATGTCATGTATCTTATTAAGTAACTTGGCAGGATGGTGATGAGTAACAGGAAGGCAAGAGGGTTCCTTTGGTACCTCTTCCTTCTTATTTTTCCTTCTCAGTTGAAAGAATTGCTGCATTACATCTGCACACTCTGTTGCCAATACTCCTCTTCTTATTTTTATTTTCGGATGGAATGGGTGAACTGGTGCAGGAGCTATATCTCTGCCTTCTGAAACATTTTCTCCTCCGTCAGGGAAAAGCCTGCAAACCAATTTTTATCATCATCATTTGTTTATTTCTGTCTGTGCCATGTCCCTCTTATTCAAGAGATTTCAAGGCACGACCAAGTTAAACCAACCAGAGATAGCAATAAGAAAATAAAGGTACATAGAATGAACAAACATTAAAGACTCCATGCCATTGCATATATACTAATAATGAACAATACAAAGAGGTATATTGACTGCATACCTAATCCAGCTACCATCAGCTCCAAGAAGCTTATTGGGAGCTCCCCACACAACAGTGTCTATTCTTGCCTGAAGAATGGCACCAGCGCACATTGCACAGGGTTCAAGCGTTACATAAAGTGTAGTTTCCTGACAAGGGGAAATTTGTGTCCGAATAAGCCATCATACTAATTTATTGGAAGACTGTGATTTAATACATCCCACAATAATTTCACCTAATAACAACGTATTAGAAAAAATAGCTTTGACTTTGGTCAAATAGGTAAATGGACCAGTTTGTTGTAGTTAAGCCACCAGAGACGGTAGAACAATGGGTTTGACTATAGTTTATTGTAGTTAATCCACACTGAACATGATCTCAAAAGTTTAACGTATAGAGAACAAAGAGTTCCGAGACGTTAACGCAACTACGAGTAGACTCACTGATGTCAAACTACACAAAAAAAAAAAAACTGCAACTTTTACATTTTCAACAACTATTAAGCTGTTCCAATATGAACTTCTAAATGCTCAATAGAAACTATCACCATATAAAACTCCAAAAATGTAAGAATTCACTCTAGATTATCATGTCTATCGGAAGGCCGGGTGGCAGCCAGATACACAACAGCATTTTCTGTAAAATTGCATGGCCGTTATGCAACACAGCACCACTATTGTGGCCTCTAAACTATATCCCACTGCCAACATCACAAATGCTCCCAGCACAATTTTACTTGGCATTGGGTTCATGTTGGGTTTTGAAGTTGAAAAAACTGCAAATCTTAGTTTGGACTCAAAGTAACTCTAGAGGTCCTTTGGGGAAAAGGTTCATTAATCATTAGTAACTACTCCCTATTCCCTCCGTCCCAAATAACAAGACGCTTTGCAACAACAAAAAATTGTCTCAAATTATAAGTCACTTTACAGTTCCAATTCCAATGCAACATTAGTAATTGTTTCCTAATATACCCTCTAGTATTTATTACTATTCCTACTTTCAACTCTTTTAATTTCTCTTTCTTGTGTAATTAATGAAGAGCATTATCATAAAGTCATACATAATTTGTCTTTCCCATACAAAATTAATTAGGTTTCTTAATTCGTGTGAAACACCAAAAACGTCTTATAATTTGGGACGGAGGTAGTATACACTAAACATGCCCTTAGAGACATTCTTATTACTTATCCTTCAAATCTAATAAGCAACTATCGTTACTTAGTAAGTTAACGAGTTCAAAAATAATATAAGAGAAACATATCAAATGAATATTAAAATTTGGCTATATCATCAAAATACACTTGAACTTAAAACCAGGAAAACTTACTGATAATCTCCACGAGTGAAGAAATTTTGAAGCTTCTCGTATACAGATCATCTCTGCATGGGCTGTGGAGTCCCGCAACTCTTCTACTCTGAAACATATATTCTGGTATAAATTCAAAAATTAAGGTAACTGGATAGAATGAACTAATGCAAAAACATTGAACCTTACAAGTTGCATCCTCTGGCAATAATTTTTCCATGCTGCACAAGAACAGCACCCACAGGAACTTCCCAAGTATCAGCAGCCTTCCTGGCTTCCAAAAGTGCTTCTTTCATGAACAATTCATCAATTCTTCGCTGCTCGAGTTCAACTTTATAGGCCTCTTCCCAGTCATCGAATCTATCTCTTAAAACCTGCCCTTTCCGCTGAAATTTCCTTTGTTTCAACTCTCCATCTTTTTTTTCTGAGCCAGACATTTCAGTCTTTGTTGGAGCAACGGGTTCTTTTATTGGCACTCCTGATTCAGTTCGAGAAATGTTGGATCCACCAATATTTATAATTTCTCCTGCAATAGGTTTCACTTTAACCGATAGTGGAATTGGTGACTCCATTTTTTTAAAGCTAGAAGTAGTGACTTTCAAAGCTTTTTCATTTTCAGTACAACTAGAAAATTCCTCTCCATCAGCATATGAGGTACCTATTGATGTTGATCCACTTTCCACTTTATTTGGAAAAGATGATCCAACTTCAATAAGTTTTCCTTTGTCCTTCAACATTTTAGTCTCAGACACCTCTCCCTCACTTTGGGTATAACGAGAACTTGCTTTTGATTTATCAGAAGTCATGGCTTGTGGTAGCACACTTGTTTCTTTCATCACATTACTTTTACCGGTTTCCTCATGCTCTTGCCCAGAAAACCATGTCTCACTGTCAGATTTGTTTGGTGAGTTTCTATCACCTGATCTTCCAGCAGAAGAGGACGAACCAGCATGTGAATTCCAACGTAATCGAACAATATCAGAAATCACTCTCCATAGGGACCTTCCAGTTCTATAGACAATTGGTCTTGCAGTTTCATTGTTGATCTCTGGTTTTTCGGCTAATAAACCATGCCCAACAGATGGTTCTTTTACATCCCACATTTCATCAGAAATTCCTTTGGCACCAAGAATCCCACTGGAATGGTTAGAATTGGGATTTTTTAACTGAGAGTCATTTTGAGTGCCTTGTTGCCTCTGATTATCCACAACATCAAAGGACGACTTTGTTCTAGCGACTTCCATCTCTTGTATTTCAGAAGTTGTGACTTCATGCTTGACCCTGCCCACGAACTCATCAACAAACTGTTTCGATGATTCCTCAAAACAAATAGCTGAAACAAGCACATCTTCCGGAGTCGTGATAATAGAAGGCCCGCTATATGGTGGTCCCGAAAGCATAGCAGGACTTATTCCCAAATTGTCATACAAAGCAGAAGAGCTGCTTTCTGAAGTTTCAAGGTGGCTGGCAAACCCAGCAGTGCGTTCAACATGAGCTGAAACTCTACCCATTTGGGAAGAAGGGATCAACATTATTTCAGAACTCCTTTCATTACCTTCTGCTAACATCAGTTGTTTTCCAGCCTCGGAAACTGAATTTAATGATCCCTGGAAGCTGGATTTCTCTCTTGAGGCAGTTTCATCAGTTTGAGAAGAATTTTCTCTAGTTTTAACAGCTGGTGCCAATTTACTTTTTGGAATAAAACTCATCTTCTCAGAAGTTATTTGAGAACTCGAAACATGCTTTTCCTCATTGGCACGGCCTTCAGATAAAGTGCTGACATGTTCATATCCTTTTCTATGTTGAACACTCTGAGTTTTCCTTCTACCAGTTTGGAGCCACGAATCCCTTGCATGTGGGCTTATGTATGAACTTTCTTCTTTGTTCTTCACACTAGCTTTAGACTTCATGACAGATATATTTTCAACATAACTCCCATGAGCTTGTGATACTTCAGAAACTTGTTGGGATTTTCTTCTTCTGGCATCATCTTGTGTAATGGTCTTCTCTCTTTCGTGTTGCAACCTCACTCCTTGAGAAGAACTCAGAACTGAGTTCTTTTTTTCTCCCATGTTCTTCGTCCTAGCAACAGAGGTCCTCTCAGTGTTTTCAAAATTTAAATTTTCTATATATTTTTGGGAACCTTTATCTATTACATCCATTGTTTTGGTAGAAGAAGAACCAATGAAGTTTTTATTTTTATCACTTGTTTCCTGTAAATGTGTTTCTGATATCTCCAATTTCCCTTCCTTGCTAGCAAATATCTTCTTTGATTTTAAGCTTTCCTTTCCGGTTGTAGAAGTAGAACCAACAAACTTTTCATTTCTGTCACTTGTTTCCTTACACAGTGTGTTGCACATTTCAAGGTTCCCTTCACTGCCACTGAATTTCTTTCCTGATAATAAAGTTGACTCGTTTTCGTCACAACCGGACTCTTGTGTATATGCAGATTGATGATTTCTTCTGTCTTCTACTTGAATGTATGCCTTGTTTGTTTTCTTATCGAAATGCTTTACAAAAGATGCATTATCTTCCTCACAATGGACTTTCTTCTGTGAAAGAGAAGCTCTTTTATAACCAGATTCATGTATTGTAGATTCTCTTGGACGCATATATTGGTGCTCTCTTGTGGATTCAATCTCCGGAACGATTTCCTCGGTCAACTTTTTTTCAGACTTCTTTCTTATGTTCCAATCAATATCCGTACCAAATACAACACTTTCTTTATTTGAAACGCCGTGCACCTTCTTTGAGTGATCTTTCTGTCTGTTGAATTCTTCCTTTACCTTGCCCTCCATATGGTTTGGTTCACTCTTGTCATATCCCAGGGAAAATTCTTCCAAACCCATATTATGTTGCACTTCCAAGTCACTCTCAAAATCTCCTGACGAAAGCGTGTAATAAGATGAACAACTAGACATATCTCTTTGTTTCCTACAATTTTCACCTTTTGTAAGGGCTTCCCATTCAGTGTCAGGTTTTTCACACTCTCTTCTCAAGTCTATGGAGGATGCTTCGTGTTGCTTTAGATTTCCTTTTTCCTTTGTTTTTATTTTCTCACTCAAATTCAAATGTCTCACTCTACCCACATTGTTTCTGTTGTTAATTTCTGTTCTTTTGGATGAAGATACATTCTTCAATTTGAAACCTGAAGCATCTTTATCTGTCTCCTCACACAAGAAACTGAGAATTATTTCAGAATCATCATGAGAAGAAAATGAAGGGAAATTTTCTCTCCCTTTCTGTGAGGCAGAGCAAAAACATCGTTCCTTTATTCTGCTTCTTCTAGTTGTATTGTAAACATCTGTGTCATTGGTAGGGCACTTAAGGTGATAAGAGCTTCTGACAAGAGCATAAGGAACCTGAGAAAAGTAAAGGTCATGACCTCTGAAAATAAACCTCCTAGATGGTGAGAATTGAAGGAGAGTGGACTGACTCAACCCATTTAGAAGAGAAGGCTTTAAGTGTAGTCTATGGGTGGAGAGAGCACAAGAGTCACAACAAGCACAACATGATGAAAATTGTGAGGAGTTTCTGTCAAATCTTTCATAGCCATTGAAAGATAAAGGGAATGGTTGTTTGCAGCTAACACCATATATGGTAGAGGAAAAATATGTGGTGTGCATAGTTGCATATGCTTTCCCACCCCCACCAAGTGTTCCTTCAATTAGAAGTGAGCCGTAATTGTTTGGTTTGTGAAGCACGCCCTGTAGTGATAGCAAAATTGGAATAAGTAAATGAAGTCAAGAATGCATCATAAAATTATTAAACATGAATTCCAAAATGCTGGATGAAAAGAGTGGAGGCCATCTGCGAAAGACTTATAAAGTACACAGGAGTAAGGGGTTGATAAACCAAAAGAACAAGATGAAAATCCAATGATGACGTCCATTTCAAAATAATGCTATACCAAGTTAGTATCGTAACAAACACAAGATAATAAGGTAAATCCATCAAAACAAACAAAGTAATTAGCAATATGGTGAATGAGAGAAACACAGTCGCAATATAAATTTAACTTGTTCTATTCAGAGACCCTTTACCCATTATAAGAAAAATATGATATTTGGAATAAATTGCTGGTGATTGAGACAAGAGATCGGTGAATAATAGTTTGAAGAGAGAGATTGAGTAATAATAATATAAATTGAGGTACCTGGCATCATGGATCAGAGTTGAGAAGTTAGGGTTCGGTTTGTGTTGTTGAAGTTACAAAGAGAGTTGTGATTTGCACAACGGGTCTCTTGGATAGGCCTCACAAAGACCAGATGAGATTCAGAAGGGGTCAGCGTCGTCATTTATTTTGTACTAAAAATATTAATTAAAGATAGATGGTCTTATACCCTATCTTTACGCATTTTTCAAGAAAAAAAATTTCGGATATCTTAATTATCTTCGTGTTTTTCTAACGCATCACGCCAAAATACATAAATGTTTTTAGAAATTTAAAATATATTTCCGAGACGCATTTAGATGTGATAAAACATACATTATTTTCAGAATTATATTTTCGTTGGATACCGCAGTTGCATTTTCGATATTGTTTTACACAGAAATCAGAAAAACTGAATTGAAATACACCAAATTCAAAATGTCATAATTCAAACATTGATGTCATAACATAAGCAATACATTAAGGATTTTAATATAATTCAAACGTTAAATGGACGTTGCAACATCTTGATAATCATTGATCGACCTCTCAATAGTCGTAACCAGCTCGAGCAGAAATTTTGCTTCTAAACGGAAAAATATTCTCCAAATAGCATGTAAATCAGCGCTCGTATTTAGCTCATGGTTGATGAACTCAAGCTTCCCTTCGTTCACAATTTTTCGATTATCATCATATGGTAGAAGCTCATGCAGTGTGTATTACAAATCTTCAAGAGGGTGTACTCGGTGATCTTAAATTTTTGTGATTGTGTATTGCCAATAAAGTGAACATTTTCAACATGCCAAATGATGTTCATTCTTGTTTTTTGGGTTTTGGTATGTAACAATATGAGGAATGAGGTTATTTACAATAGTTGGAGGCTATTATGGATCACATAAACTCTGTCTGTTTATAGGGTGTGTACCTGAAATACATTTCCGATTACACATTTAGTTAAATCGGAGGTGCATTTTCGCCAACTTCCCTGTTATGAAAACACAGAAATAAAAGTAGGAAAAAACTAGCATATAGACATAATAACAAAATGGTTGCATTTCGCGGCATACTACATTAACAAAATATTTGCATACATATGATAAATAATTACTTAAATGACCCGAAATAATTGTCGCCCGACAAATCCACAGGTGGTACCCCCCTTGACTTTTCTCTACTTTTTTCTATTTCATTGTTGTTCAATTTGGTGTACTCTTGCATCCTTTCAATAAAATGATTCGGCCAAGTCTTAAATTGAATTGTATAATGATTCGTCCATTCCGGTGATGTAAGTGGTATAGGGCATCCCAGTTTCAAATACACCTGAACAAAATATCGTTTTTTTTAGAGCCACCCAACATATATGATACAGTCATTGAGATTTGGTGGTAGAGCAGTGCGTAGTAGGAAAAAAGTTTCAGAGAAATTGTATTTTGTAAGATTAATACACACCCTCCCATACGCACTTGCTATCAGATGACCCATCTCAGGGAAACGCATCCATTTTTCCTCCGGTGCAAATCCACTGACGCAAGGTGTTAGAACATAGTTTGATTCTACAACCCTCAGTTAGAGTTTTGATGATAACAAAATACAAGATTAAATAAATTGTAAGATTTATATAAGACATATATGCTACTTAAAATTATGTTGTGTATTTACAAAAACTCTGATGGAATCAGCATCAGAATATCAGTATCAACATCAGCATTAGAAGATATGTCAGCATCAGAAGATCAAATAACATGTGCTATACGCTGAAGCCTGATGAACAGAATCTGCGCATAAAATACTCTGACTCTGATCAAGATCCTAACCAAGTCATCAGCACTCAGAAGCGTCATCATAAAGGAAAGAACACTCTGATTACCATAAGCAGAGAAGACTCTGAAGTGTCAACGTTACTAAGCATTCAAGACAGATTTATTATCAACAGCTTTATTCCAAGACAAAGATCTTCTCAATAAGGAAAGAACGTTATTAGCATTGAAATGGATTTATGGACAACCAACGTATCTCTTCCTAGGCTATATAAACAAGTCAATGTGAGAAAAGAAAAGGCTAATACTCTTCACGCACGCATACGTAAACGAACTCTCTCAAATTGCTAAAGCTTTCAACCACGCCAACTCAATAGCATTAGCAGTCTAGTTTCATTTAAGCTTAATATTGTGTATTATCACAATTGTGATATATAGTTTTCATAGAAAACATCAAACACATTTTTGTTCATTTATCTGTAAGAGAATTTCCTTGAGATAAACTGGTCTGTGGTTAGACTCAGGAAGGCTTTAACAGTTGTTAAAGTGGTTGTTGTATTCAGTTGAATATAGTGGATTAAGACCTCGTTGGAGAGAGGCGAAATCACCTTGACGGATGGACTGGAGTAGTTTGAGATCAGACGAACCAGGATAAAAATAACGTGTTGTCTGCATTTGATTTTAAGTTTTACAATTCAACCCCCCCCCCCTTCTTGTGTTTTTCACTTCTTCAATTGGCATCAGAGCGTCTGGTTCTGAGCTTATAACACTTAACCGTGTCAGTACAAGATCCAGCGTCAGAAAAACACAATGGCAAGACCACATCAAAACATCAGCAATGACAACAATGAAGAAAGAGACAGATTCAGTGGCAAACCTCCAGTCTTTGATGGAGAGAACTTTGATTACTGGAAAGACATAATTGAAAGCTTCTTTCTGGCCCATGATATTGATCTGTGGTACATGGTGACCGATGGATACATGCACCCAGTGGATGGAAGTGGTCAGAAGATTGAGAGGAAAGCAATGTCTGATCAACAAAAGCGTGATTTCAGAAATCATCACAAGGCCAGAACAATTCTTCTCAGCGCCATCTCTTATTCTGAATATGAAAAGATATCAAACAGAGACACTGCAAAGAATATGTTTGACTCTCTGAGAATGACGCATGAAGGCAACATTCAAGTCAAAGAAACCAAAGCTCTTGCGCTCATTTAGAAGTACGAGGCATTCAAAATGGAAGAAAGTGAATCAATAGAAACGATGTTCTCAAGATTTCAAATTCTGGTGGCTGGTCTCAAAGTTCTGGACAAAGGGTATTCCACTGCTGATCATGTTAAGAAGATCATCAGAAGCTTGCCAAAACAGTGGAGGCCAATGGTCACAGCATTGAAGCTAGCTAAGGATCTCAACAAAATCTCTCTGGAGGAACTTGTCAGCTCCCTCAGAAGTCACGAGATAGAGCTAGAAGCAGATGAACCTCTAAAGCAAGGTAAGCCATTAGCTTTAAAATCTAACAGAAAATCTGACTCCAAAGTTTTGCAGGCTGTTGAAGAAACCTCTGATGGGTCCTCATCAGAAGAAGATGAACTATCTCTCCTCTCCAGAAGGGTGAATCAATTATGGAAGCAGAGGCAAAGGAAGTTCAGGAATCCTAGAAGATCAGAGAATCAGAATGAATCTTTCTCCAGATACAGAAGGTCAGAATCCTCCTCTGGACACAGAAGATCTGAAGGCTCTTCAGGAAGCAAAAAGCCAAACAACAAAGACATCATCTGCTATGAATGCAACGAGCAAGGACACTACAAAAGTGATTGCCCAGAGCTTCAGAAGGAGAAGCCCAAAAATAAGTTTGGCAAGGAAAAGAAGAAAAGTCTCATGGCTACATGGGATGATTCTGACACATCCGAAGCTGACTCAGAATCAGATGATGAGAGAGCAAACATAGCTCTCATGGCAAACATACCAGAAGACAGTGAAGCTTCTGAGTCAGACTCTGAATCAGTTACAGAAGAGGTATTTCCTGACTTTGCTATTAACTTTACTAAGGCTGAACTAGTTGAAAGCCTCAATGAAATTCTGGAAAGATATCAGCAGATCAGAGTCAAATTCAGAAACCTGAAAAGGAATCTTGCTTCTGACTCTGATAAAACTGAGAGTCTCAAATTGGAGAATTCTGAGTTAAAAAATAAAATTTCAAAATTAGAAAATCTATTACAAAACTCTCAGAAGGAAACAATCCCTGAAACTCCTAGCAGTGCTGATGAGATCATCAAGGAGTATGATCACAGCTTTCAGAAGTTTCTAGCTAAAAACATAGATAGAAGCAAAATGGCTTCAATGATCTATGGAGTTAGCAGAAATGGCAGAAAAGGAATAGGATACCAAGGTAACGTACCTGCACCATAGAATGCCATGGATTTAGTTATAAAACGAACTCCACTTGATTCACACTTTGTATATGGGCACACACATGACATCAAATATACTAGTAGTAATTATTTTGTCAAACCAAAATTCAACCAGAGTTTTGGTAAAACTAACAAATCAGAACCCAAGAAAATATGGGTACCTAAGGATAAAATAATACATGTGGCAGATATCTTTAGCAGCAAAGCAAAAACACCAATCATGGTACCTGGACTCTGGCTGCTCACGACACATGACGGGAAGAAGGCATATGTTCCAAAGCCTGGAACTTAAGCCTGGAGGCCAC